GCTTCCTGTCCTCACGTTCTTGATTCTTTCTTCCTAAAATTCCTTGACATTTTCTTGAGAATTTAATTTTCATTCCACTTCTTCTGAAAATGGCTCCTGAATTCCACCACTTCCTCTTTTCCTCAAAAAACTCCTATATAGCTTGGCCCTACTCTTAGAAGTTGTAAAATGAGTTGTAGATATTTATGTAGAGAGGCTTTGTAAAGGAGAGGAAAAAGAAAACTAGCCCTGATACTTCTAGTTTCTAACTCATTAGATTAATGGCTCGAAATATAAATTAATGTGTTGTCAGTCTGATTTTTCCTTCTGTCTTTGTAGCTCTCCACAGAGAAAAGCTATTAGCTCAATGACCTGGCAAAATCACTCAGTATTGATAGAATTTGTGTTCCTGGCCTATCCCTTCCACCCTGAGCTGAGGATCCTGGTCTTCCTTGGAATCAGCCTGATTTATGCATTGGTCATCACTGGGAATGTCCTCATTGTGTTGGCCATCCAGAGAGAAACCTGCCTACACATACCCATGTACTGTTTCCTGGGCAGCCTCTCAGGGGTAGAAGTATGCTACACTGCTGTAGTGGTGCCCCATATGCTGGCAAACACCCTAAAGACACAGAAGACCATAACTCTCCTGGGCTGCGCCACTCAGATGGCATTTTTCATTGGACTTGGTGGTGCTGATTGCTTCCTCTTGGCTGCCATGGCCTATGACCGATATGTGGCCATTTGCTACCCTTTGCAGTACCCTCTCATCATGACTTTGACTCTCTGTGTACGCTTGGTTGTGGCCTCTGTAGTCATTGGTTTATTTCTGTCTGTACAACTGGTGGCCTTCATGTTCTCTCTGCCATTCTGCCAGGCTCGGGGTATCAAGCACTTCTTTTGTGATGCGCCACCAGTGATGCAGCTTGTTTGTGCCAACAGCCACTTCCACGAGCACTCAGTGCTGGTGGCAGCCACACTAGCCATTGCTGTGCCTTTCTTCCTCATTGCCACCTCCTATGCCTTCACAGTGTCTGCTGTGCTCAGGACCCACTCAGCAGCTGGCCGAAGCCGAGCTTTCTCCACTTGCTCATCCCACCTCACTGTGGTCTTGTTGCAGTATGGCTGTTGTGCCTTCATGTACCTGCGCCCCAGCTCCAACTACTCCCCCAAGAAAGATCAGCTCCTCTCACTGGTTTACACACTGGGCACCCCACTACTCAACCCACTCATCTACACCCTGAGGAACAATGAAGTGAAGGGGGCCCTAGGGAGAGTTCTTACTAGGAATTACTTTTCTAAGAATAGCTAGGAGAGGGGACAACCTATCAGGTGAGGTTTGGTTCCAGCCCATGTTCCTGAGATTTCTGTCAGTTGATGTTAAAACTGATCTAAAAAATTGGTATAAATTATCTGAATATGTTTATCTATGAGTCGCTGATGGCACAAATGGTTTAGCACTCAGTTACTAACCAAAAAGTTGGCAATTTCAATCCACCCAGAGATTCCTTGGAAGAAGGACCTGATGATCTACTTCCGAATGATCACAGCCTTGAAAACCCTGGCACACAGTTCTACTCTGACACGTACGGGGTTGCTATGAGTCTGAATTGATTCAATGGCAACTTGTTTTTTTTTTTTTTTTTTTTAACTAGGGACCTTAAAAAGATTTGTACCATTGGATTCAGTCATTTCTCTTCTAGGAAAGAAATATGTAAGCAAATCAACATTAAGTAATATAAAGCTACAAACATAAGGCTGTATCAAAGTATCTGTTGGAAAGAGATGGCTGATTCAAAAGGTTTTAACTGGAAAAAAATGTAATAAAGGAATTATCTACAGAGGCGTGGATAAGAGAACAAGGGGTGGAAAGTTACATTACAGCAACAGCAGGAAGCCATTATCACCCATAGACCTTAAGGGCAAAAGGTGAGTACAGTATAACCAGGCACCAGTGAGAGCTAGAGCTACGGAAATAGGCCATAGCTGGAACTGGGGTTTTAGGGGGAAAAAGGCAACTCTTAACAGAACTTATGGCCAGGCAAAGAGAGGTAAATACCCTGACCTCTCTTTATCTCTACCCTCCATCTCTTGCCCTGTTTCCCATTGACCAAACCAAACTGGAAGCAAGAAGGCAGGGGTGACTAAGCAATTCAGTCCATTGATATCAGCCTCTTGGGGCACAGGGAAGAGTAGAGAAGGACAGAGACAGATCTTGAGGCTAGAGGCAAGCAGAGAATAATCAGAAAAAGGCTTTTTTATTATAGTATTATAAGTAAAAATGAAAATATATGAACAATCCAATTTTCCCATAATAAAGTACTGGTGTAAAGATTATTGTATAAAAGAATACTATGCAGCTTTAAATTTATGTTTCCAAATAATAATTATTATTAATACAAAAAAAAAATTGCTGTGGAGTCAATTCTAACTCATAGTGATCCTACAGGACAGAATAGAACTGCCCCATAGGGTTTCCAAGGCTATAAATCTTTACAGAAGCAGACTGCCACATCTTTCTCCTGTGGAGCAGCTAGTGGGTTTGAACTGCCAACCTTTCAGTTAACACTCAAGTGCTTTAACCACTGCACCACCAGGGCTCCTTAATTATAATTAATAGCTACCATTAATTAGGTGCTTAGTACATGCCGGGAACTGGGCTAAGTGATTATGCATATAAATTTAATCTTCAAAAAACCCTATGAAGTAATATTGTTATTATTCCCATTTACCAACGATGGAACTGAGTCACAGAAAATTTGAGTAACTGGCATGAAGTCACACAGCTAATAAGTGGTAGAGATAGAATTTGAACTAAAGGATTCCAGCTTCAGAGGCAATTAACACAATATTGAGTGGCAAAAGCAAGATAGCAAACTGCATTTACAGAATGATTCAAATATTTGAAAAATATGCACATGTGCACATATATGGGAAAAAGAATAGATGTAAAGTCACCAAAATATTAAACATTCATCTCTGATCTGAGAGATAATAATCTTTATTTTCTGTACTATTCATTTTTAGCTTTTCTACATTTTCTATAATACAAATGTATTATTTTTAAACTCAGAAAAAATAATTTTCAAAATACTTTTCCATGTATTCATTTGAACCATATGAAGTTACTGCTATATGACTATTTTTTGATCTACAAAGCAGCAATAGCACATATTTCAATGTAATACATTCATTTAATCCGTAAACCTCCCATCTACTCGGCAAGGTTTGCCTGCTACTTGTCATATATCCTTACATTGGCACTTTTTCCTTTCCTGATTTCTTTTTCTCTTCATAACTACTCTTGAGGATTTTCTTAATTAAATTATTTTAAGTTACATAGCAGTAGTGAGAAGGACTACAAAATGTGACTCATTCTGACCCTATCCCTTCTTTCTTGGGAACAGTTATGGCAATAACACCAAAGTAGAATTCCTGCATCATAAACAAGTGATGGAGGAGAGAGGAAAATTCTCTCTTTGGAGGGTTGCTTTACAACATGCCAGGCCAAAGTCAAGAAACCACCTCAACTGCACATGCAATATTAATTCTGGGCATTGAAGGGAATGCAGAAATAAAGACGGTTGCAAGGAAAGGAAGGGAGAGAAAGAGGAAGGGGAGAGAGAGAGAGGTAACAAAGAAGGCAGGGAGGTTGTGGGGAAGGAGTCCAGTGGCATTTTAATGCTATCTTTCTTTCAGCATTTGATTTTAGGAATCAAATGCTTTGAACTCAAAAAAGAAAAAGAACTCAAGAAAGAAAGGGTTGAATTATAGGACTACTGGAGAATAGACATCAAAATACTGATCACAAATTATTGAACACCTCCAGGTCCTCTTCATTCAGATCTGTTAACTATAAAGAAGGAGTTTTAATTCCTTAAGGTCAGAAATGTTTGAAAAGTACTTCCTCTACAGATGGAGCCATAAAAACCCAACTAACAGGCCTTCCTCCCACGAGTCTGTCAGTTTGTCGTACTGTGAGGGCTTACATGTTGCTGTGATGCTGGAAGCTATGCCACTGGTATTCAAATGCCAGCAGGGTCACCCATGGCAGACAGGTTTCGGCAGACAGGTGTCAGCTGAGCTTCCAGACTAAGACAGACTAAGAAGAAGGACCTGGAGGTCTACTTCTAAAAGGAATTAGCCAGTGAAACCTTATGAATAGCAGCAGAACATTGTCTGATACAATGTCAGAAGATGAACCCCTCAGGTTGGAAGACTCTCAAAAGACGACTAGGGAAGAGCTGCCTCATCAAAGTAGAGTCGACCTTAATGATGTGGATGGAGTCAAGTTTTTGGGACCTTCATTTGCTGATGTGGCATGACTCAAAATGAGAAGAAACAGCTGCAAACATCCATTAATAATTGGAATGTGGAGTGTACAAAATATGAATCTAGGAAAACTGGATATTGTCAAAAATGAAATGGAAAGCATAAACATCGATATCCCAGGCATTAGTGAGCTGAAATGGACTGGTCTTGGCCATTTTGAATCAGACAATCGTATGATCTACTATGCCAGGAATGACTACTTGAAGAGGAATGGTGTTGCATTCACCGTCAAAAAGAACATTTCAAAGTCTATCCTGATATTAAGCAAGACGAATAACAAATACTTGGGTATAACCAAACAATAAAATTTCTCATCAATCCCTACACCAATACCACACTATCTCATTCACTATATTTTCATAATAACTCTTGATATAAGGTAGAGCAAGTCATCCCATCATGATTTTCTTCAAGAATGTTTTATCTATTCTCGGCCCTTTGGAAATCCTTCGGATATTAAATCAATGTATCAAGTTACACATACACATAAACCTGCTGGGATTTTTATTGAGATTGCAATGAATCTATAAATCAATTTAAAGAGAAGTCATATTTTTTAAAATATTGTGTATTATAATCCGTGACCATGGTATATTTTCACATTTATCTGTATTTTAGCCATTTTTAAATAAAGTTATTGAACAATAAACTTTCCAAAAATGTTATATATTTTTTCCATATAGTTATTTTTTTCTATTATTTAGTGTTAATGATACTTTACTGAGATACAATTTACATACCATAAAATGCACAAATCTAAAAATACAGAGCTCAATGAATTGTGGCAAGTATATACAACTGTGTAAATTTAGCTCAAACAAGATATAGAACACTTCCATAACACAGAAAGCTCCCTCATGCCCCTTTCTGATCAATCTCCTCCTCCAGAGCCAACCCATGTTTATCATCATACATTAGATTTGCAAATTCTTGAATTTCGTATGAATTTAGATAATATATTGTGACAGTTATCAATTTCTTGCCATATTAGCTCCAGATCCGATCTGTTTTGGCCCTGCTTCATGATACTGGAAAGGTTCCTGGGTGGCACAAATGGTTGGCACTTGACTACTAACCTAAAGGTTGGCATTTCTAACCCACCTAAGGAAGAAAGTCCTGGCAATCTGCTTCTGCAAAGATTACTGCCAAGAAAACCCTATGGAGCAGTTGTATTCTGTAACACACGGGGTCACCATGAGTTGGAATCAACCTGACAACAACAGATTTGGCTTGTTTTTTATGGACCATGTCTGTTTTGCTAACTGGCACAATTCTAAGTTTTATCTGTAGAGGATTTAATTAGAGGGATCCTTCAGGACAAAAAAACTTTTCCTAATTCTTATGGATGATCTCCTTCTTACTTTTCTGAGATGTGATGCCAGCAGTGAGTGAGACACTCACATCTAGCAACCTTTGCCAGCACCCCAGAGGACGGCAGCAAGGTCACTGGCATGCTTCAGGTGGATTCCCAGAGCATTTTTTTCCAGTACCCAGTCAGTTTCCCAGCAAATCCCACCAGCATCTTAAGGGGCGCTTCCCAGAGAGTTTCACCCACATCCCAGCAAGCAGTTTGTTCCCACCAGACCTGCCACTGTGACCTCAACAAACTTCTCAACCTTTCTAGTGGACTACAGCCACACCCTGTCCAATGAGGTCTGAACTTCATCCTTCGGTGTGGAGTACTTTTCCAAATTTGTTTCTTCTTGAGTCTTCAGCCCGAGTCCTAGAGGTAACTGGTACTCTCTATATCTTCTATCCTTATGTGATTAGAGTTCTCTTTTCCCTTTTGATTAGTGAAGCCCCTGTTACTAGGTTAATAATCCTTTATATTAAATTTTTCCTGTTTGAATTGGTTTCTGTCTCCAGACTGAATTCTGACCACCACATGCAACTCACACTCTTTTGTGTCTGGTTTATTTGCTCAACATAATGTTTTAGAAATTCATCAGTAGTTTTTGTTTTTTTTTTAGTTTTTATTGC